TTTTTTTTAATCAACCCACTACCTCACTTTCTTTAAACCCCACTTTCACTCACACTCACATGGGCTTGTCCCATTCTCCTCTCATCTTTTCAACTTTTCTTTCAACTTTTTTTTTCCAAAGTATTTGATCTGCCCAAGACGTGGCACAACACTTTCTTTTTTATATTATTATTATGAACGGAAAATAAGAATTCTAATTATAAGTAACTATTTTTATGGGCTGTATGCTCTCCTTGAACTCATAAAGTGTGGTAGTTCACAACTGAGATGAATCAACTGCTGAGGATACATACTATGCTTGTACAATCAAAATCATACAAACATATGTGCACTGAAGACACATATTAACAAGGCCCTAAAACATAATATGAACTAATACCTTCTTGAGAATTATGTCAAGAAGTTCTGCCCCTGCTTTTGAATCAAATACCTTAGCTTGATGGCTACTATTCCAAGAAAAAAAGAAACTTGAATTCATCTAAACTAGCAATTTACAACATGAAAAGTCAAGCCATGAATAATAAATGTGAAAAAGAAAACCATATTACATATCCAGGTAAAGGAGTAATCTGGAAGCAACAGGGGGAATTGTGTTGCAATTACAATAGTTGTTACCCCAGATGAGAAATAAAAACCTTTTTTTTTAGCTTTTAGGGTGTATTTTTAGTTCAAGATACGTCCTACTACTTGGAACCAAAGAATTAGTAGATCTATTCCGGTCAAATTGGGACTGAGCAAGGGTTTTGAACTTAAAATCTATGATCTGATCATTGAGTCAATTCCCAGATTATAATTTCCTTGCAGCAAGTGATTGAGTTCAGTAGTTTCCCATATATATTTTATCGACTCTAGAACATAGTAATATGTAGAAAAGAAATTGTTTCAAGAGCCAGCAGATATACCGAGAAGAAGGGAGGGAAAAACCTACCATAAAGCCACCTGTCTCTGTTTGCCACCAAGTGTCAGATATGGGGCATCTTGAATCTCCAACTATATTGAAAAACCACCTGTTAAGATGAAAAAGAAAACGTGTCATACTTCTTGTGTTCAAAAATGTAATCCAGCAACAAAAGTAGAGCTTGTAACCTCCATGCACTAGGATTTATAGGCTCGCCTACACTACTGACAATGAGAAAGAAGAAAACAAACACAAAGCAGTTATGCAGCAACATGAAAATTGTCGAGTCACTTTTCAAAATAAATTAATCAATAACATAAGCTCTACCTAACACCAATTTTGCTCAACCAACTCCAGATACTTGACAATATTTTTGATCAATTGAAATGAGTTAATAAAATTAGAATGACAACAAAATGACTGGAAGAAGGTCAAACTTACGTTAAGGTAGCGGCTAAGGGAAGCCCTTCAGGCACTGCAACAACCACAATAGTGACCTAAAATTCCTTCAGGTATTAGTAAAATACTCAAAATAACTATATATGAATATATACTAATTACAAATTATGTCTGTAAAACGGCACATACTGCAACAGTGAAAATCTTAATAACTCCATCTATGGCAGTACCAAACTTTAGTATGACCAGCCTTGAATTGAGGAGTTCCATCTGTGTTTTTGGTATGTCCAGTAAAGTATCTGCAGATACTCCAATTTATAAGTTTTACCAGTCCAAACTTTGTTTTTTAGAGAGAAATAGAGAATTGAGGAGAGAACTCAACAACTAAGATTGCAATTACCTTCTCAAAAGGACAAACAGAACAACTATAGCTACTGCAAGTCCAACGAAGCCAATAAATGATATTAGCCTAATTTGATGCTAAAGCTCAACATGATATCTAGTCAAGCTACACGCAAGTAAATCCGGACACTTGGTTGTATAAAAAAATAAAAAGGCATTACTAATAATATTTCAAATAGTTAGAATGCATACTTGTGCTTCAACAGTACCACTCTTTTAGCAGCTACATGACTTGTCAACCTCATCACCATGTCCTTCACAGTTGCAGACATTTTCCGCTTATTTCTTATTCAATCTTCCCTGCTTACACACACACACACACATATATATATACACACACACACACAATAACCCATCAATTATAAACTCGTGTCAAGCCCCCAAGTTCACAAATTTTTGTGCTACACATCAATTATATAAACTCTGAATACTTACAATTACTTACAAATTATAAGTATTGATTGTGTTTTTAAAGGTTAGCTCATTCTAAAATTCACCTTCTTAATTGTTGGACTACCTGTCCTGGTTCATCGTGAAACAATCTTACTTATTCATCATCATGGATTCATGGTATTGGTTGAACATTGATTATTTGTTTTCTTTCTTCTTTCTATGCTTTGGTTTTTTGTTTTCTAAACCAGTGAGAAATTGGTTTATTTTACAAGGTAAGGTACAGTACAGTTCTATTAGGAAGATTACATGACGTGTTGGTATTTGAGCAGATCAATACATCAACCAAGAAAGTAAAGTCCATTCTTGGTTCATTCCAATGACATATATTAACATATATCCCTGACAGGATCCCAATGATTATGCAGAAAGATAGAACACCAACAAATCACAAATGAATTTGAATAAAGGTATTGATTGATTTTTAAATTGAAGCTAATTAACTTGCATACCTGGTAGGTGTATGTGGTTTGTACAGAGAAAATGAGAAACACTAATCTAATCAATTGGGTGGTGGTGTCCTGTTCAGGCTCTCTCAGATCAGAGACGTGTGACTTCTGTCAAAAACAAAAATTACAATTGGTGCCTTTTTATTAATTTTATTTATTTATTTGTAATTTGAGTGTTTTATTCGTGAGGAGGAGGATGATATGGAAAATGGGTGGTTGAAGAAATTACAATTATGGCGCTAAATCGCTTTGAAAGTAACTGTTGTTTGACTTGTGGGTAGATCATGTAAAGTCCCATGGAGTGGGAGGGAGTTGCTAATTCCACACCCATTATAGTGCACCCATCAAAAACTACTGGTTTACTTTTTAATTTTTTTGTGACAGTTCTATCTTAATGTATAATCATTATTAAGGTCAAAATTATAAAATTAAGGTCAAAATGAAGTAAATATGGCATACAAAACAATTGACAAGTATAATGCTTTTTTGTGTTCTACTTCAGACGACAGATACTGTCCATAATATTATATAGAATGTAAGCACTATCCGAAATCAAAACAACTCATTAAACATTACAAGGAAAACTAACCACCCATAAGCATACTTGAAAATTTTACACAGAATTAACCATTATGAGAATATTTCTTTCTGTAAAAGGGAATAACTCCTCAACATGTTTGAAAGATAATTTTCTCACAATAACTTCGATTATTTTCAGAGAGTAAATTCATTGCACATATAATGAATGTAACTAGAATAAAATCTGGTTTCATTCTCAACAGAAACAACACTGGAAACAGAGAAATTTGGGAGCCGAAGATCTTAGCCTCTATACAAATAAACACGTGATAAGTATTTACATGAAATATGATTAAAGAAAAGCGTGGTTACTTGAATGCAGTTGCCACTGGACCTATGCCGAAAACTGAAGCCACAATAATCTCCCTAATTAATCCCTGCGATGAAAAACAATAACAATTACATCAAAAATTAAGCAAGAACAATCAAAATGTTGAGGTGGTTTTAATCGTTAAAAATCACCAGAATCTTGCTTGTGATGGTAGCCAAACCAATCCACGCAGCATGTTGAATCAAGCCAATGTCTACAAAATCACCCAAATATTAAAGCATTCTAGGGTTACAGACACACATTTATTTGTATATGTATATATATCGAGAGTCTAGGGTTGGGGAATAGTACCAGAGGGCATCGAATTGGTGTCATCATCTTCGACCTTGAACTCGGATTAGAATGCGTGGCTTGAAGAAGTTTCCACCGAGTCGACGGGAAGGAAGAGCTTCAGAGAGAGAGAGAGGGTGGAGCTCACCTTAGTAGACGATGGTGCAGATAATGGTGCAGATGGTGGAGACCGATCTGAATCTCTGACGCTCTGCGATGAAATCACTGAGATGAAATCGCTCTGAATCTCTAAATCTCTGAGATGAATCTCTGAATCGCTCTGATAAGGGTTTAGAGAGGGTAGAGAGAGAGAGAGAAAGAGAGAGAGTGGAGCTCACCTTCGTTGGTGCTTGCTACCTCGCTCTGAGAATGAATAAGCGGTGGAGCTTCGAAATCGCTCTGAGATTTAGAGAGAGAGAGAGCGCGCTCGAGATCCAAGTCTTAGGTGAGTCTCAGATTCAAAATTAGGGTTTGAAAAGGGGGGAGACCATGCGCGTGAATCACAACGCATTTGGAGGCGTTTTTCAACGCCTCAAAACGGTATCGTTTTGTTAAACAAATATGCTGCGTTTTATAAAGTGTCGTTAAATATTAAAAAAAGTGACGTTTTAAAAAACGTCGCTAAAAAAACGTCGCCTAAACTCCTTTTTCCTGTAGTGAGATTTTCTTTGTTCAAAGGTCTAACCTCTCTAAAATATTTGGTTCATAAAGACAAACTCCTGCACAATGACTAAACTATCCATATATATATATATACTAGTGAGTGATGCCATGATCTTCCGTTATGTCCGCCATACCTCCATTCTCTATGGCGCAAAAGCTTGATGAGCATTTGCCGGAGAAGATGATCAAGATAGGGTTCGGTTTGGATCATGCCGTAGCGAAGATCGAGTTCCCAGAGTTTTGTTTGTTGAGGCGGATTTGGACTTGACGGCGTCTGATCTAGACTTGACGCTCTTACAGTAGCGGAGGCCACCATCGCCACTGAGAGAGCGGGTGGCATTGTAGTTGAGGGTTGAGAAGTGGGTGGATAAAGGCTACGGAGGTTATGATTGTTGTTGGGTTCCAAGTAGAGGTGGCAATCCTGACCCAGATCTACGAACCTGCCCATACTCGCCAGCAATTTATGGGTTTAAACCCGCTTGTTTATCAAACAGGTCATAATTGGGTAATAACACGTAACCCGTTTGATTTTACGGGTTCACGCGGGTTGGGCACGGGTTAGTAATGGGTCATTGAAAAAATGAATACAAACTTGGAATGTTAAAGATCCGAACCCGTGCCAACACCAAATCAAACAACGTTGCCAACCACTCCGCCATCTATTCACTTGTGCAATTTGTCTTACGTTTATATTACTTATAGCAATTCTGATTAGGACCTATTCTCTTTTGTTTTATTTTTATATTTTCTTCAGGATTAAATTGATTCGAATTTAATATTTTAAGGACTTAATTGACAAAATTTAAACTTTAGAGATCTAAACAAAAAAAAAAGTGTTATACTTTAGGGACTATTATTGTAATTTATCATTTTTTGGGTTTAATTTCATTTTAATCCTTAAATTATTGGTTTTTTTATCTATCAATTCCATTTATTTAATTTTTATTTTTTTAATTTCAATTTATATATTGTTGAATTAGAAGCAACATGTCAAAATCAACAATGAAAAAAAAAATCTAATCTAATAGAAACAAAAAAATAAAAAATAAAAAATAAAAAAATAGCATTTAGACTAGCTAAATCATATGGCTGGCGGAAGCAGCACATAAACAAGTTAAATAATCTAAATTAAATAAACTAAAGTAAATAATCTTAAATAAAATAAACTAAAGTAAATAAACTTAAATAAAATAAATAGAATATTTTAAATAAGAACAGATAAGCCTAAATAAAATAAACTTATAATCGTTTAAATTAACTTACAATCGTTTACTGGAATAATTGGAAAAGACAGAATTGTTTACTGGAAGTAACTGGAAAATACAGTTTCTACTTGCATCCTTAATAGCTGAATTTTAAAAAACAAACTAGAAATTTTACAGAAACTGAGAGGAACTGCGAAAGAAAATGGTGAACTCTTGCCCACTCTGGATTGGTCTTGACTGAGGAGCTTCTTTTATTGGCAAATTGGATAACTGTTGAGTTTGTGAATTGGGAACTGTGAGGCTCGTGACTTTAAAAGCTAGAAAATACTGTGAAACTTGTGTCTCGAAAAGCTTGAAAATCAGAGGCACATGTATAGCGATCCCGGTTTTCCCTTCATTGTTTAATTGTATTTCAGACTCGGTTCTGTGGATGTATTGTTGTCTTTTTCCTGTTTCCATCCTTTACTCTTTGTATATAAGTCTTTGGTCGTGTTGGGTAGGTTTAAAATAGGTTAGTTGTGTTTGGAAACCAAGGGTTGATGTCCATTTAATTCCAACTAGTGTCTATTAAATTTTCATAATGGTTCATTCAATTCGAATTAGTGATCCATTCATATTCCATTAGTGGGATTTTATGACAAACTTGTCCATTCATATTTCTAACTAGTGTTCATTTAATTCTAGTTAGTTTTCATTTAATGCTAGTTAGTGTTCATTTAATTCTAACTTGTCCTTTCATTTTCCAATTAATGGGCTTTAATAACAACCTTTCAATATCACTTGTTCATCTCCCTTTTGATTTCAAAACCCTAGAACCATCTTCTCTCTCTCCCTACACACCTTCTCTCTAGGTTTTCATCTCCCTCTAGTGTAAATCTATACTAAGTCCTTTGTAAGAAAGGTAGAGTGGGTTGAGGGCTCCATTTTTAATTTGAAAGTTTGGCGATTTGGAGCACTTTGGTTTTTGGCCTTCATCTTCTCCATTTGGTCTCTCCATTGGAGGTAGGGATTTCTTTGTTCCTTTTCAATACTCCGTCTATAGATAGACATGTGGTAGTTTTGTATTGCATGAAAATCATATCCGTGTTGGATTTGTTTGAAAATCATGAGGGGGAACCTAGGGTTGGTTGTTTGAGAATGGTTTTGTTATCACTGACCGTGGTTTGGACTAATTAGAGATTAAAATTAGCATGTTATTGTTGAAAGAAGAGAAAGCCCTAAGTTATATTTTAATTTGGTAAAATAAAAAGGATTTACGGTTGAACAATGTTGGTAAATCCATTAGTAAGAAGATAGAGATGAGACTGATCAACACTTACTATGAAGAAAGAGCTGCGAACGCGACACGAACTAGAGAAGAGGCTTGAATCGATCTATGAATACTTGAATCGATCTGCAAATACGAAGGGGTTCAGGTACGGTTCTACAAATATGAAGGGTTGTCTCTGAAACGAAGGGGTTTGAAGCTAGAGACAGTGAAATCAAGGGTTTAGAGAAAGGAGAGCAAGACTGAGAGTGAATAATACTTGAATCGATCTACGAGTAGATGAATCGATCTGCAAATACAAAGGGGTTCAGTTGCGGTTCTACAAATACGGAGTTTGAAGAGAAGAGAGAGAGTGAAATCAAGGTTTCAGAAAGAGGGAGACTGAGAGAACACGCTACTTTATGTTCATATGTTAAAAAAATAAAAAATAAAAAAACACATTAGAAGGCGTTTTCAAAACGACTTTGAAATTAAAACGGTGTCGTATTGTTAAACAGAAAAATGCGACGTTTATCAAAACGCCGTTAAATGTAAAAAATAGAGGCATTTTTTTAAACGCCGTTAAATAAACGCCGTTAAATCCCAATTTTCTTGTAGTGGTATACGTAAGCCCAAAATAAGGACGCAGTGGAGGGGACAGATTTGGAGGCATTTGATTTGCACCCACTCTCTACTTCAAATTTTATTTAATTGTTTTTCAATTCTTCTACTCTTTCTTTTTTTTTTTTTTTTTTTTTTTGTGGTGATTTAGATAATCTCATATGTTGGAAAAGAATACGCACACTAAAAATAGATTATACTTCAATCACTTATTTCTCACATTTTATTCGAATCTATAAATATGTATTAATCTTGTTCACCTTTATAATTGTGAATAAAAAAGAATACGCACACTAAAAAAAGATTATACTTAAATCACTGATCTCTCACATTTTATTCGAATCTATAAATGCGTTAATCTTGTTCAGCTTTATAATTGTAAATAAAATGTTTCCCATCAATAATGGTTTTGTTTGATGAGTAGTGCAAGGACTTAATATAATGGTTTTGTTTCATGAGTATGTTGTGCGGAATATTTTAAAAAGTATTTGTAAAATAAAGTGCATAACGTAGATTTAAATTTTCTTTATAATTATATTCTACTTAAAATGAATTTGATTGACATATTTTATTTTCTAAATTTTATTTATTTATTTATTTATTTATTTATTTATTTTTGTATATATATATATATATTTTTTAGATATATAACCTTGTCATTGTTCTATAGTGAAAATGGAATTTGATATTTTCCACAACCAATAAAAACCAAGGACCTCATTTGGGAATCTTCCTTTTTAGTTAAAAAGTCAAAAAGTTACTAAATTAGTCAAAAAGTCAACAACTCATACTAAAAAGTCAAAACTTCTCTTTTCTCTCTACTTTTTACACATCTTTTCGTAAAAAACCAAAAAATCATCCCAAACATACTAATTTTTTTTAGCTCATATTTTAGTCAAATAGTCAAAAAATTACTAAATTAACCTGTTCCCAAACGAGGCCTAAACTTCTTACAAAATGTACCTTTTGACCCCTGCATGAGAGAGAGACAGAGAAATAAAAAAGGAGGTTGTATTGGAATGGAACTATTGTTGACAATTTTATAATTTAAATGTTATTATAAAGATAATGTGAGTATATAGCTATTTAATTAATTCTTTGACAAAGGCACATAATATGTCAAGCCTAAAAGGTTATCACTCTTTTGTCATAAAATTTTATTATGACCATTCCACATCATTTATGAGTATGGCGGTAAACAAGCCGAGTTGAATTTTGCTGAGTTTGAGCTTGACTCATTTATTTATCGAGTTCGTTTATTGAGCTCAAGTTCAACTCGATAAGGAACTGGGCTCGAGCTCCGCTCGACTTGTTAATATTAATGAAATTCGAGTTCGGCTTGGCTCGGTTCGGCTCGATAATTTTTTTAATATTATTTATATTCTTTAAATAAAAATATTTGAATAAAAAATGTTATTTATATTATTTAATATATAAATAATGTATTTATACTATTATTTATATATTTATATATTATTTAATATATAAATAATATATTTATTATATAATTTAAATATAGATAAACGAGCCGAGCTAAGCCGAGCTCGAGCTTGGCTCGTTTACTTCATTTACAGCCCTAGAGGTAATCTATCCAATCATTATGCACATTTGACACCATTGACCCAGTTGTCTTGAATATACAATGTCAGAGTTCATTATGTTTTTGCCTAATTAGGTGGAGTTTCATTTCTACTTTGGGCCTACCGCACTACTGCCCGAACTCCCACGGGGAGACCCCCTTTCACTTGACATACGGTGCTGAGGCAGTCATTTTTAACAATTTTGCCCTTTAAATATTCCCTTTCAAGAGTAATTTTAAAAGTATAAAATCTGATTGTTGCTACAATTAATGGAAGTAGTTGAGAAAACTTAGAGTTTATTAACTCCTCATTAGAAATATTCACTAACATTTTGATATAAACTTGATCATGAATTACACCTAGATGTTTGTTGTCTAACACTTTTTTTTTATTATTATATATAAACTATGTTAATAATTACATTTTAACAAGTGCATTGGAGCACTGTTAACATTTAAATTTAAAATTTTAAAAAAGAAACACTGAAAACAAAAATATTATTATATGTCATCAATTCTTTGTCACCGTTTAATCACCTTCTATATGATATCTGTGATTGATTATGTTGTTTGGAAATCTGATTTTGTGTTGTATTATTTTTGTCTTTATGATATTTCAAGTTTGTGCCATCGTCCCCAAAATACAAGTTTGATTAGAAAATGTGTAGATCAAACATTCACATTATAAATAAATAATAATAATAATAAAAAGACATAGTCCAAAGCAAAAGGAAGGGCTCTTTCTTGCTGTGGGGAGGTCGGCAGAGCATGAAGACCAAAGATTCTCTAAATGCTCTGTTTTGTTGGAAAATTTACAAAGAGATTTAGAAAGAGGGAAAAAAAAAGTTAGGTAAAATATGAATAAATTATACTTACATTTCACTTAATTTTATATCTTTTCTCTTTTTGTTTCTAAATCTCCCAACCGAACACAGAGTAAAAGTACGCAGTTTCTTTGTCTTAAAAATGATACTTTTTGGTGTTAAAAAATTAATTAAATTAAATGTAAATAATATCTTGTCATGTAATTTAATGATACAAAACAATATGAATAAATAAGTAATGTATAACCTAAGCACATAATGTCACACACAAACCATCCTTGAAAACTATAAGCAAAATTTTATTTATACAAATGGCTGCATTTTTTAAAAATCTTGTTAACGTTTGTTTTTAGAATACATGTCAAGTAATTTAAAAATATTAAACATTTTTTATTGCACTCATGTTCATACAAAATATACAACCTTTTAAGCCTCTTAATATTTAACAAAAATTATTGGAAAAATTATGCAAATAGTCCCTGTAGTTTACACGATGTGTCAATTTGGTCCTTGTAGTTTCGATTTGCTCGATTTTGTCCCTTAATTTAACGGATTATGTCATTTTAGTCCAATAAATAATGTTTGTTAAGTTACACTGCTGGAAAACAGATTTTTAGTGGCGTTTAAAAAACGCCGCTATAAGTGTCAAAAACGCCGCAAATTCTTTTTGCGACGCTTAGCACCAAACGTCGAGGACGCGGCCGTCGCTATAGCTTTGTGGCGTTTTAAAAACGTCGTGATATTAGTATAAGCGGCGTTTTTAAGCCAAATGTCCTAAATAACAGTATTATGACGTCACTGTGATATTTAGTGACATTTTTAAAACGCTATCATATCTTTTTAAAACAAATGACTGTTAGATTTAGGGTTTAAGTGGCATTTTAAAAAACGCCGTGATATCCTTTTTCATATTTTTTTTTTTTGTAAATTATGCTAATTTTAAACCCATCAAAAAGTATTCAGAGATTCTGAGACAATTTTCAAACTACTCTATAAAAGAAAAACATTATTATAAATGCCTATAATATGGTAATTTTAAAGAACTCAATTGTACAGAAACTAGTGTAGAAAGAAATCATTGGAGTTCCTACTAATACATCCAAATGCACAATTCATGTAGTCAAGTAGTCTAAGAGAATACAACAATGAAAGCTTTCCATAAAAAGCAATCTGCCTTCTGAAGCGATGCTCATCACGTGCAACCATTCCACGCATGCCAGCCTGAATAGAAACAGCAGAGGAGCACAATTCTTTATAAGCTTTCCTAGCAAGATGCATACGAAAATCTCTCTGAATTCTTAGACAAGAAGCTTCTCTCCTAATGTTCTCGTAAGGTTCCCGAGCAAGCTGTCCTGTAATCAGCACAAGGAAAAAATCATTGAGTTATATACTTTCAAGACCTCAGCAATGAGCTAATTAAAGAAGATCAGCTGAAAAGACACATCTAACACAATTATGCAGAAAGGGGCTGGGTGAATGGGGGGTCCCAAGTACCTATATATCACATATACACTATCTAGGTGAAGTTCTCATGCGAAAAAGATGGAGTGATACATATATATGAAGTTCTAGTGACTCTGTATAATAATTCTATTATATGAAATAAAGGTTTGCGTTAGTGTTGACAAAAAAATCAATTTTTATTTTTCAAAAATGCCCTTATATAATTAGAATTTATATCCACAGCCCACCTCTAATAAACAAATACAAATAAAACATATATAAGCCTTTGCATGGAAGAGTGCATAGAAGAACAAGTTTTACAAAAATCACATTTACAATCACTTCATGACTTACAGTAACCAGTTTCAAACCAGATACGGATGCTCCAAGGCAGAGACCAGTTGACATGGCTCCACATCCAGAGTATAAATCTAGTAAAGTCATCCGATACTCTTGACATCTAGAAACTTGGGAAGACTTTGCAGCGTCAGTTGTCTCCTAGTGCACTATTTGAACTAGCTTCACTTATTGAGGATGCATCACTATCCATCTTTAAGTTTTCTGGATTTGCTGAAGCAGACAACATCTATTAGAAGAATTCATTTTAAAAAATGATTGTAGTCCTTGGGTAAACATACTAACCTGTAGCTGTATCTAGAGTTGTAAACGAAAAGTGTGGCAATGAATATGCCATATCATAATACAAGTCTGAAGACAAAAGTATTCTCTTTTTCAGCCAAGTCAGCCTGTTTCACAGAGAAAACATTTCAGAAACTTGGAAAGCAATAAACAGGAACAGAGTTTTAGAAACACACACACACAAACAGAGACAAAAATAATCATAAGAATAAAAACAAACAGACAAAGATATCAGTAGCCAGAAGTAAGTGATGGTCATACTTTTGCCGCAAGTTGCACAATTTTCACTTTTGACACAATGGAATTCAATGGATTGTCATCTCTTATGTCTGAGTAAAACACTCGTCTTTTATCAATGAGGTCAGATTGGTTCTTAATTACCTGGAAACAACCAAATACATAAATAGAATAATGCACATGTATAACATCCATTTCATAATTTCATTTAATAGCATTTAATATTGTGCTGTTAAATTACATGAGAATTTAAAAAGTGAAAAGTAATAGTTAGGGGTTAAATTATAAAAAATAGTTCCTAAGATAAGTAGTGTGAAAAAAACAACAAAAAAAAAATGTTTAATGTGCACTTTTATCATTTGTACCAAAAATAAAACTTCAATTTATATTATTCCAATTTCCCTTGTAATAAAAGACCATCATTCCTTACTTTGATAAGACTACTAGATTTCTTTTTGCTGAATGTAAGTTCTATGATAGAGTTTTTACATATGCTTTACTGGAACTCAATATAGACAATTCCTAAAGTATATAATTTTTGTAGATATAAATATAGAACTTTATTCAGTTATTTCCATACAATATAATTTAATATAATCAATTCAATCATAGAACCTCACACAGATCTAACCTAGACGGTCCTTGTTGGAATATGTGAATCCTGTATATTGTATGAATCCAGTATATTGTGTGATTACGGGATTTTAGGCATATTTCCTTATATTTGATTTTATTGTTATTCTACCTTCCTAAATTGTAACCTCCTCAATTCAGTATATATATATACACACGAGGATAATCATATATTGTGATTAAGCCATTCAATTTATTATCTTCTTATGTCCTGACAAGAAGGTGGATAAATATTATAACATTTAAGAGGTGAACCTCATTGACAAAACTTGAGCAAGAAACTAGACAATTCAATCTTCAGATGCAGGGCAAATCAAAGCAAATAACATAGGAAGTAAAACATAATTGTAGCAATTAAAGACTCACCGCTAATAACTTTAATGAGTGTAATGGCACAACCCGATCATCATGATCAGCTGTCAATAACATGGTAGCTGGGTACTGAGAAAACTGATTAGAGGATTGTTCCCATGGTCTGCTAACATTATGCAGTGGCGAGCACCTGAAGAGAAATTTTAACAATGGCAAATATTCAAAATGATAAAATAGTTACCCAACTACCCGTCTGCTAAAAACTTATGAGTGATGAAAAGCTAAAAGAAAAAGCAACCCAGCTCAAAAATCAAACGAGAACTGACTACTTGCTAACTGATGATGGATAAACAAGCACGGGAAATTGGTCTATGATTCTCCATTAACTTCAGTGAAAGTCGAACCAATAAATAACAGTCATTAAGAGCCACACGCTAAGACACAGAACTAAATGAGTTTACTCAAGACTTGCCAAAAAAAAAAAAAAAAAACAGATACTTAAATAATACATAGAACATATTTTTCATTTAACAAAGTATGCAAGTCAATTGCATTTTAGTATTACTAAAATGTAATTTGAAAATTGGAAATGAGGAATAATTTGTGATTAAGAGGTGAACGCCAAACAGTAATAGAAGTAAATAACTTACTCGAGATTAACTAACATATTTTATATCAAACCAAAAAAATATCTAAAAAATTATAATTTCAAAGTAAGAACATTATACAGGTAGATAATTCAATGAAAATAAATTCACTCACCTGATAAGCCAATGGAACTCTTCCTCCTCTGAGCAGCCAAAGTCACATGTCCATCTATGACCTAGAAAAGAAACCTAAAAATCAACAAGTGATACTAAAATAAATCAACCAAGTGAACCCACAGATTGCTGGCTGACCTATAGTGAATTTGTGAAATCTAAGCATATCCATAACACCAACATGAGCAAGAGCACAACCAAAAAGATTAGGTCTCTGTAACCACAAATTTTTACAATTTAGTTTATAGACACGATGTATTATGACAAATGAATAAACCCAAAAAATGCCACCAAGAAAATGAATCAACACCGCTATACCTGATTAATGCAAGCCCCAATAAGAAGCCCACCGTTGTTTCCACCTTCAATACACAATTTTTCTCTGCATCGTTGAGCTTCTACTCACTGTTTCCAACGATCCACATCCAACGCCACCTGCTTGTCCCGTACATGATCAGAGACACTAACATCGTACTTGAAACCCTAGATAAATCGATTCACCATTGTTGCTGCTCAATCTGATGAAAGAGAAGAGTTTTCCACACAAGGACTAGAAAGAGTAAAGCAACAAAAACGAAAGGAGAAAACACAAAACAAAAGCAAAAAAAGCTGGAAATCAACTAAATCGAGAGAAAACAATTCCAAATCGTTAGATTTAGCCATGAAATTTTATAGATCTTGTGTGAATGTGGCAAATCTATATCAGAAAACCCTAACCTTGAGCCCTAGATCGATTTAGATCATAGGGATTCAAACAATCTGGAAGATATACGCTCCAAAAAACCTAACCTTGAGCCCTAGATCGATTTAGACCATAGGGATTCGAACAATCAGGAAGATATACGCTCAAATCAAGAGTAGAACAACATTTTTCAGATCAAACAACCGAAGAATTGATGGAGATCGAAGAGATCGAAGATCCGATGCCTCGGAGATCCAACGCCTCGATTTATCTCTCTTCCTAAAGTCATGCCTCTGTTCGATCAGAATAGAAGACGTAGCCTTGAGTTGAGCCACTGTTTAAAGGAAATAACCGGCCCACAAAACGAGATGGTTTAGTTTAATTTTTTTAAAATTTAAAAAATCTGGACAGATTTCACGACGTTTTTGAAAACACCATAAAAAAAACGTCACTGTATGTCGGTTTTCTTGTAGTGTTAATTTAACGGAAAGTCAAACAATGTGTCAATTTAGTCCTTATATTTTTCACAATGTGTCAATTTAGTCCATGTCAAAATCAAGAAAATTTAAACTACAAGGGCCAAATTGACACATCGTGTAAAATACAGGGATCAAATTGACACATTGTTTGACTTTTCGATAAATTAACTTAACAACCGTTATTTATTGGACTAAAATGACACAATCCGTTAAATTAAGAGGCAAAATCGAACAAATTAAAACTACAGAGACTATTTGCATAATTTATCCAAAATTATTTTTCAAATAGTCAATGAAAGTTTAGCTAATGATATTGTCAAATAAAGGCATCTGAAGAACCTATTACATGAAAAAAAAATTCATAAAAATGAAAATGTGCGGACTATATTCAATATGGGTGTGATTAACACTAAGTTTAAACTTACATTAAACGTTTTTATTTTTAAGTAACTTGTCAAATTAGTTTTTGTGAGTTCCCTAATTCCGAAGAGACATGTAACTTTCTCGAATTAATTAAGCCACGTCCACGAGAGTATGTGTGTAACTAATAATGAGAGAGAGAGAGAGACAGAATTCACCAAAAATATTAAGGCTACCCAACAAAGCCTTCCTCTAGAAAAATGTACTAGACTCAACTCTTGCAATAATATATCTAAGTTGTATTCAATATGAATATTATTAAATTCATAAATCATATATATATGTATAGAGAGAGAGAGAAGTATAAAAACATTCACATTCACTGGACTGAAACGGATTTGAATTGAAGGGTACCAAAAAAGATAGGAGTAAGGCGTGAAGGACAATGAGAGAACATGCCATTGGATCTTATCAAGGTGCTCTTTATTTTTATTTTCTATTTTTATTTCTTCTCTTATTTTCTTTTTTATTTCCTTTCCCTATTTATCCACTAGAGGTGAAAGTGAGACACTAATTTAGATGCTTCTCTTTCAATCATTTTTACACTTTTCATTGAAGAGTAAAGAATCAACTCTAATCGAAGCTTTACTCGATTTACAGAAATGAAAGAAAGCTTTATTCCTATGGAACTGGCTATTAATATGAAATATCAAGATTGAAAAAATAAATAAAAGAAGAAGAAGAAGAGCAGAAAAACATAGGTTGAGTAAAGAGTAAATAAGAAAATTGTACATGTTGGCTTTATTTTCAGTTTTCTTTATTGAATTTTGTTAATATGTAATGGTACGCATTAAGCAACTTCAAAAAAGTGTACACTCTGCATCAAAGTACGTGTAATAAAAAATGTATAAAAATTTTAACATTTCTTAATAACACGACCCTCCTTTATATTATGGTTGATTTTTGTCATCGTATTGATAAGCTAAATGAGTAACAATGGTGCATGGTAAGAGTTAAGTTTTAACTTCGTTACTGAAAAATTATGTGATATATATTGTCTATGTGGTATTCTCAATAAATGAGAAATCTCAAAATACATTAGATTAGTCCTCCATTGTCTCACAATTAACTATCTAGCTACAAAGGTGGTTCTACATTGTCTCATCTGAAAAACTTCCCCTATGTGTGTCCCTCCCAGTGAAAATAAGCATATATTTGGCAAAAGGTTTTGTCCAACATAAACTAATCTAAAGAATCTTGCACATATATGAGAAAAACTTTATAAAGATAATCTTGTTTACTATCCTTTTAGTGAAAAGTATTACATTTTCTGGACAACATCATTAAAACTAAATACATTATAAAAAATCAACATGTTTTATTCTTGTTCAAAAAGAAGCTTCATAAGCCAAATGTTGTTAATGATAAGGAGAAGACTTCATCTGATATATCTGAGGGTTCATCATAAGTCCATGGACTGTTGTACCAGAGAAGTCTGTCTGTTTGTAACTAATTAGTAACAGTTTAGATTAGCCTAACTGTTAGTTAGTTAGGAGAGGTTAGGGCTTGTATATATATACACAACACAGTAGCTATAGGGCTGTAATAATATTGATTGAATTGATTCAGCATTTGTTTCATGGTATCAGAGCCTCGCCAAGCTCGAACGAGCGATCCTTCAATAGAGACCTCTTCAATGGCGTCTTCTGTGTCGTCTTCAACATCACCGATTCCATCCAACCTGAGTATGTTGATCTCTAATATCAATTCCTTTGTCACAGTAAAGTTAGACAATACGAATTTTATCACTTGGAAGAACCAGATGCAAAACATTCTTCGAGTAACCGACTTGATGAAGATCATAGATGGTTCTCAGTGTTGTCCTAGCAAGACGATTCGCGATTCATCATCTGGAACTGATATTCAAACTCCTGAAGCAACTCTATGGAAGATGTTGGATGCACATCTTCTTAGCTGCATTACAGCTACACTTTCTCCTGCAATTTTTGCCTCTGTTCTTCACCTTCGAACGAGTTCTTAGGTATGGAAATTTCTTAACAAACGTTTCACATCATTGTTAAGGTCTCATATACATCAACTCAAGAACAAATTGAATTCAATCTCAAAGAAATCAGATTCAATGGAAGTCTATTTGAGTAACATTAAGAGTCTTGTTGATCAATTGAGTGTTGCCTCCTCATTTGTGGATGATGAATATGTGGTTCTTATCACGTTGAATGGCTTACCAAGTGAATATGATTCTGTGAAAATTGCTATTCGCGCTCATTCTAAACGAATTTTTGTTAGCAAGTATTTTAATATTATAATGCGTTATAGGTTGGCTTTCCTTTTCTTTCCCTCTAAGTTATCCAAGGTCTTGGCCAAGTCTTGGTCTTGGTCCACCATGCTTATCCATCCAAGTCTTCATCCTTCCAAGGTAAGCTTCCTAAGGTCTTGGTCTCAGTCTTTAATCTTATCCAAGTCTTCATTCGTTTTCTTATCCACCAAGATAGGCTCTTATATATATAGTGAACTTATGTCCTATCTAGAGATATATATAAGAGAGGTGAAGAAGTTTTGGGTTGCTTTTGTTATGTCTAATCTGAGATTATCAGGCAAATAAAAAGGGTGTGTGTGATAAAGCTTTGGGTTCAACCAATCGTGCAATATTTGTTAACTATACGACTTAGTCGGGCTGTTGTATCTTGGGAGGGACAAGTCAAGATTTTTTCTGCTGCACCGGTGTGAGGCTTTGCCTAATCGCAGAGGGTTTGAATCTCCTTAAAGAGAGCGAATTTCCCGCGCCTCAGCCCTCATATTAATTGTTATAACTTATATTTTTTATATTTTCTGGTGTTTTATTTGTAAGTATCACCTACAATTTTAAGGAGATTCAATTAGTAAAAGTTCATGGAGCCAGTACTAGAGAAGCCCAACGAGAATACCGACGATCTCAACAAGCCCTTTCGGTTCAAGGGAGCCCATTTCAAGAGATGGAAAGGCAAGGTGCTTTTCTACCTAAGTCTCCTCAAGGTGGCTTATATCCTGACCGAGAAAAATCCGAACAAAGTCCCCACTGAAGAGATGACCGACGAGGAGTATGCTGCACATCTTGAAAAAATCAAAAAATACAACACAGATGAGTATAAATGTCGATACTATCTTTTGAATTGTCTTTCAGATCAATTTTATGATTATTATGATACTACTTACACCACTGCCAAGAAAATTTGGAAAGCCTTGCAGAACAAATATGACACTGAAGAGGCAGGCACTAAAAAATATGCTGCAAGCCGTTTTTTTCGCTATCAGATGATAGATGGAAAATCAGTGGTGGAGCAAGTTCAAGATTTTCAGATGTTAGTAGCTGAAGTTAGATCTGAAGGCATCAAAATTGGAGACAATCTTGTTGTAGCAGGTATTGTTGACAAACTTCCATCATCTTGGAGGGAGTTCCAGAAGTCAATGCGTCACAAGTAAAAAGAGACGTCCTTGGAGACTCTAATCACACGGATTCGGGTGGAGGAGGAAGCACGAGGACAAGATGCGCTTACCCTTCTTCCCACTGTTTACACTTCAGATGACACCAGTACCCTTCTTCGCTCTGTTTACTCTGCTGAATTTTTAATCAAAACTTTCCTCCTCAACACACCAATTCATTGCTGACGGGATGATCTAAAAAATCTTACCAAAAACCTGCCAATTCCACCATGGACCCAATTACGGTTCAGCTCCAAATTGAAAAAATTCGTGAAGAGCTTAAAAGCTGTACATAGTAGAAACAACAGTCTTGACCACAGGCTAATGTTACCGATGAACCATTTGTGGCTATGATCACGAT